GCCTTGGTAAATTTAAGAAAACTGAAATAGTATCAAGTATCTTTTCTGACCACACCACTATGAAACTAGATGTCAATTACAGGAAAAAAAACTAAAAAATACAAACACATGGAGAGTAAACAATATGCTACTAAATAACCAAGAGATCACTGAAGAAATCAAAGAGGAAATAAAAAAATATCTAGAAACAAATGACAATGAAAACACAACGATACAAAACCTATGGGATGCAGCAAAAGCAGTTCTAAGAGGGAATTTTAGAGCAATACAATCCTACCTGAAGAAACAAGAAAAATCTCAAATAAACAACCTAACCTTACACCGAAAGCAATTAGAGAAAGAAGAACAAAAAAAAAAGAAGACCCCAAAGTTAGCAGAAGGAAAGAAATCATAAAAATCAGATCAGAAATAAGTGAAAAAGAAATGAAGGAAACAACAGCAAAGATCAATAAAACTAAAGCTAGTTCTTTGAGAAGATAAACAAAATTGATAAACCATTAGCCAGACTCATCAAGAAAAAAACAGAGAAGACTCAAATCAACAGAATTAGACAAGAAAAAGAACTAACACTGTAGAAATACAATGGCTCAGGAGAGATTACTACAAGCAACTATATGCCAGTGAAATGGACAACCTGGAGGAAATGGACAAATTCTTAAAAAGCAAGACCTTCCAAGGCTGAACCAGGAAGAAATAGAAAATACGAACAGATAAATCACAAGCACTGAAATTGAAACTCTGATTAAAACTCTTCCAACAAACAAAAGCCCAGGACCAGATGGCTTCACAGGCAAATTCTATCAAACATTTAGAGCAGAGCTAACACCTATCCTTCTCAAACTCTTCCAAAATATAGCAGAGGGAGGAACACTCCCAAACTCATTCTACAAGGCCACCATCACCCTGATACCAAAACCAGACAAAGATATCACAAAAAAAGAAAACTACAGGCCAATATCACTGATGAACATAGATGCAAAAATCCTCAACGAAATACTAGCAAACAGAATCCAACAGCACATTAAAAAGATCATACACCATGATCAAGTGGGGTTTACCCCAGGAATGCAAGGATTCTTCAATATACGCAAATCAGTCAATGTGACACACCATATTAACAAACTGAAGAATAAAAACCATATGATAATATCAATAAACATAGAAAAAGCTTTTGACAAAATTCAACACCCATTTATGCTAAAAACTCTCCAGAATGTAGGCACAGAGGGAACCTACCTCAACATAATAAAGGCCATATATGACAAACCCACAGCCAACATTGTTCTCAATGGTGAAAAACTGAAACCATTTCCTCTAAGATCAGAAACAAGACAAGGTTGCCCACTCTCACCACTATTATTGAACATAGTTTTGGAAGTTTTAGCCACAGCAATCAGAGAAGAAAAAGAAATAAAAGGAATCCAAATCAGAAAAGAAAAAGTAAAACTGTCACTGTTTGCAGATGTCACGATACTATACAGAGAGAATCCTAAAGATGCCACCAGAAAACTACTAGAGCTACTCAATGGATACAAAATTAATGTACAGAAATCACTTGCATTCCTATATGCTAATGATGAAATATCTGAAAGAGAAATTAAGGAAACACTCCTATTTACCACTGCAAGGAAAAGAATAAAATACCTAGGAATAAACCTACCTAAGAAGATAAAAAACCTGTATGCAGAAAACTATAAGACACTGATGAAAGAAATTAAAGATGATACAAACGGAGGGAGAGATATACCATGTTCTTGGATTGGAAGAATCAACATTGTGAAAATGACTATACTACCCAAAGCAATCTACAGATTCAATGCAATCTCTATCAAACTACCAATTGCATTTTTCACAGAACTAGAAGAAAAAGTTGCACAATTTGTATGGAAATACAAAAGACCCTGAATAGCCAAAGCAATCTTGAGAAAGAAAAATGGAGCTGGAGGAATCAGGCTCCCTGACTTCAGGCCATACTACAAAGCTATGGTAATCAAGACAGTGTGGTACTGGCACAAAAACTGAAATATAGATCAGTGGAACAGGATAGAAAGCCCAGAGATAAACCCATGTACATATAGTCACCTTATCTTTGATAAAGGCGGCAAGAGTATAAAGTGGAGAAAAGACGGCCTCTTCAATAAGTGGTGCTGGGAAAACTGCACAGCTACATGTAAAAGAATGAAATTAGAACACTCCCTAACACCATACACAAAAATAAACTCAAAATGGGCTAAAGACCTAAATGTAAGACCAGACACTATAAAACTCTTCGAGGAAAACATAGGAAGAACACTCTATGACATAAATCACAGCAAGATCCTTTCTGACCCACCTCCTAGAGAAATGGAAATAAAAACAAAAGTAAACAAATGGGACCTAATGAAACTTAAAAGCTTTTGCACAGCAAAGGAAACTATAATCAAGATGAAAAGACAACCCTCAGAATGGGAGAAAATATTTGCAAATGAAGCAACTGACAAAGGATTAATCTCCACAATTTACAAGCAGCTCATGCAGCTCAATATCAAAAAAACAAACAACCCAATCCAAAAATGGGCAGAAGACCTAAATAGACATTTCTCCAAAGAAGATATACAGACTGCCAACAAACACATGAAAGGATGCTCAACATCACTAACCATTAGAGAAATGCAAATCAAAACTACAATGAGGTATCACTTCACACCAGTCAGAATGGCCATCATCAAAAAATCTACAAAGAATAAATGCTGGAGAGGGTGTGGAGAAAAGGGAACACTCTTGCACTGTTGGTGGGAATGTAAATTGATACAGCCACTATGGAGAACAGTACGGAGGTTCCTTAAAAAACTAAAAACAGAATTACCATATGACCCAGCAATCCCACTCCTGGGCATATACCCTGAGAACACCATAATTCAAAAAAAGGCATGTACCACAATGTTCATTGCAGCTCTATTTACAATAGCCAGGACATGGAAGCAACCTAAGTGTCCATCGACAGATGAATGAATAAAGAAGATGTGGCACATATACAAAATGTAATATTACTCAGACATAAAAACAAACGAATTTGAGTTATTTGTAGTGAGGTGGATGGGCCTAGAGTCTGTCATACAGAGTGAAGTAAGTCAGAAAGAGAAAAACAAATACTGTATGCTAACACATATATATGGAATCTAAAAAAAAAGGTTCTGAAGAACCTAGGGGCAGGACAAGAATAAAGACGCAGATGTAGAGAATGGACTTGAGGACACGGGGAGGGGGAAGGGGAAGCTGGGGCGAAGTGAGAGAGTGGTATGGACTTATATACACTACCAAATATAAAATAGATAGCTAGTGGGAAGCAGCCACATAGCACAGGGAGATCAGCTCGTGCTTTGTGACCACCTAGAGCGGTGGGATTGGAAGGGTTGGAGGGAGACGTAAGACGGAGGAGATATGTATATGTATAGATGATTCACTTAGTTATAAAGCAGAAACTAACACACCACTGTAAAGCAATTATACTCCAATAAAGATGTTAAAAAAAGAAAACGATAAGGACTCTTTATTTTTAAACATACTGCAATTCTATTACCTCATTAAGAATATTATCAACAATTCCTCAATATTGTCAAATAGCAAGTTCAATTTTCCTGTCTTTTTTACAGTTTAATTGCTCAAGTCAATATCCAAACATGTTCCATATACCCATTGCTTATATTTTTAATTTCTTTTTTCCCTTATAACTCAACTCCCATTTCTAGTTTATCCAGCACTAATAACATCAACATCACATGAAAAACTTGAAAACAGAACCATCTAAGGAAAGGTAAAAGAAGATATTTAAAAATTAAAATTAAAAAAAGCACTTATTTTCTTGTACATGCTTGTTCCCCAAGTGAAAAGGAGAAACACGCTGTATTCTTACTACTTTTTCAGATTCTTTTCTGGTTCAGACAAATCTGAACTTCCCTGGGCTTCCACGGGCACACTGGAAAGTGATGGGGAAAGGTACAAGGCACTCTTGCTTTCCCCACAAGAGCTTTGTGCCCACAGGCTGCAAAGGGAGAATCACACGTAGAAGGAGTTTCAATTCCACGGTGGGGCAAGGTGGGATTCTTCTCTTTGCAAGAGTCTGATATCAGCTATCTACCACTTTAAACATCATGTAATAGATACATTCACATCCAAAGCACCAAATGAAAACACTCTAATAAACTGGAAGACCATTTACATCTTATCACCAAAGTAATGCAACTCCTCTTTACGGATTGCACTCCATCCCTAAAGGGTCAGAGTGATAAACTCCCCAAAGGTGCAGGATTTCCCCAAGCTAGCAGGTTTTTTCTTCCAATTTGGATCCGGCTCACCAATAAAATCGCATGGTCTTTCCTGAGACCGTAACCAGCTGAGCATGTGAAAATTCAATCTTATTCCTTTTAAGAGGAAAGACCTCCCCTTGGCAAGGTGACGTGCCAGGCCTGGGTCTATTTTACTTTCTTTTCCTTCTGCAGTCCGCAAATCCACTCACCAGAATCGTTGTTTACCAGGCAGGAGAAGGAATCCCCTCTCCAAGCTGGCCGACCCTAACCAAGGGAGAGTCCACCTGAGGTCAGAGGTCCCCACCGCAGGAGCTGGGAAGCTGGACCAGAGGCGTGGCCTCTGGGTTCAGAGCCAAGAGGAGGAAGACAGTCAGTGTGGCAGCACCTCCCAAGCCCATCACAGGCCTCTCCCATGCGCTATGTGGCAGGATGTGAGTCTGTCAGGAAATAATGATTGCTCAAGTATTTTCTTCTACATCTTCAGCCACGTGGGAGAATTGAAGGCAGAGAGCCATTCGCACTAGGTTATTATTTCCCTGAAGTCAGGGACCATCTCTTATTTGACACTGAATCCCTAATGCCTAGGACTACACTGGGCACGGTGGACACAGTAAGTTTTCATTTAATCCAGGAATAACGGTCAAAGTACCCTTTCTGAATACAGTTATTCTGTATTCTATTTTCCCCAGTGTGACCCCCCCAACGCCTGCTTACCTCAGCGCGAACCTTAGAAAGGACACCACAATGATGAGCACCAGGCCGACAAGGAATGCGATACTCACGGCTGCAAAAATAAAGAAACGTATCATCACCAAAAGCTGTCGTGTCATCACAGTGAATCAGTAAATGAAAAATGCAAACAATATGAAAAAGAATGTATACATACGTATAACTGAATCACTTTGCTGTATAGTAGAAATTAACACAACATTGTAAATCAACTATACTTCAGTAAAACAAATTTTAAAATTAAAAAAAGAAAAAGGGGGCTTCTCTGGTGGCACAGTGGTTAAGAGTCCGCCTGCCGATGCAGGGGACATGGGTTCGTGCCCCGGTCCGGGAAGATCCCACATGTCGCGGAGTAGCTGGGCCCGTGAGCCATGGCCGCTGAGCCTACACGTCCGGAGCCTGTGCTCCGCAATGGGAGAGGCTGCAACAGTGAGAGGCCCGCATACCGCAAAAAAAAAAAAAAGAAAAAGGCAAACAAATAAAAATGGAAACATATGAAGGAAAAGCCTATATCCTTATGTGAAATTTCTTATTAACAATTGAGAATACTCTTCATGAGGGAAGCGCTAATTTTCATCATGAAAAATATCAAACATACACAAAAGTACAGAGAACTGTACAATAAACCCACATATAGCTGTCACCTAGATTCTAGAATATCAAACACTGCCACTCTTGCTTCATCTACTACTACTACTCACCCTTTTTTTTTTTTCCACCTTAAGTGTTTTAAGCAAATCCCAGACATCAATCTATTTCATTCCCACATCTTCAGGATGTATCTCTATGTACGTCATGCAATTCTTACGTGACCCCCTGAGGAGGACACTGTATCTCTTCTGTAGGACGCTACCGAAGACACACGGCCTCTTCTGGGTCACAAGAAGGCAGCAAGCAAACCAAAGTAACAAAATAACTGGCCAGTCCTCTTCAAAAGTGTCAAGGTCGTGAAAGACCAAGAAAGGCTGATTAGAGGCCATGAGGTTAGATTAGAGGAGGCCTGGGAGACCTGATCACTAAATGCTCTGTGGGACCCTGGACACAAAACGGACACAAATAGGACAACTGGAGAAATCTGAGAACTCCGCAGCTCAGTTAATAGCGCTGTGTGCATGACATTCCTGGTTTCAATCACTGTACATGGAATCACTGTACTGTGATTATATAGTTTAGGGGCTTAGGGGAAGCTGAGTGAAGGGTATATGGAAATCCTGTTTTGCAACGTTTCTGTGAGTCTAAAACTATTTCAAAATTAAAAGTTTCTTAAGAATGGACCTTTTGCTGTATAAGCACAACGTCATACAAAATTAATAATTCCCTGGCTAACACTGAGTCCATATTCAAATTTTTCTAGTTGCCTCGAAAATGTGTGTTGTAGTCCATGTGTTCAAGTCAGGATCCAAGCAAGGCTTACATCTTGCCTGCATTGTTAACATGCCTTAAGCTCCATGCATTGGTCCACAGCCACTGACTTGATTTACACGAGGCTGGCTGTCTCCTATCAGGGCATCTCATTCGCGGTCTAGATCTGCCAGGACCCCTCGCCTGGTGTCACTCAACTTGTTCCTCTATCCTCTGTGCGTTCTATAAATGGGAAGTTAGCTGTAAAGCCTTGGCAGAGAAGTCCCACTTCTCCGGCAGGAACGCGTCGCAGGTGCTGTGTCTTTCCCACCACGTCCCATCAGGAGCACCTCCTGCTTCAGACCTTGTGCCCGATGCCCGCATTCAGCTGGTGAAGGCCTGTCCCCTCCCGTGTAAAGTTCCCCTTTCATTGGATGGTTCCATCCACTCATGGCTTTTGCCTAAATCAGTAACTTCAATGCGCATTGCAAAATATTCTGCCACATTATTAGCTGGATTCCTTCTCTAAAGAATTTACCCTCATCACCTAGGACTATTTCGTTACCCTAAGATATAGTCAAAACAGGAAAGGCAGGAGAGATGATCCTGCCTTCACCAGGATCATCAGTTAACACCAGGTGTCCTTGTTACCCTCAAAGGCAACCAAAATATTGTTTTTGTTGGGGGCCTTGTGCTTTTTAGCTTCATAGTGAACTCACTGGTTTTTGTATGTGCAACGTGTTTCCGTCAATTACATTCATTATTCTTTTAATGATTAAATCATCCCGCGTTGACTCTTTCACATTGGCTCTAACCAGTGTTCTTCTGACAGTCTTCAACAGCGTCACTGTGTACAGTACTTATTGTTGGAACAGCCCCAGGGATTCCTGATACTATCTACTGGGGGCTTGGAGGGACAAATTTTCTCCAGTGGAGTTATTAGAGAACGAACGATCCCTCCTGAACCCAAGGGGACCTCTGGACAGTCAGAGACACATACAGGAAACACTGTACCCTAAATCCTAAAACAAAGAAAGACACCTGACAGCCAACTGTCTTATTTCTAGTTTCTTTCCACTGCATTAATTTTTTTGGCTTATTTATACTTCATAATACAGTAAATAAAAACTATGAGAATATGTTGATACATCAAATAATTTTTTGTATGTCACATAATTTTCTTAGTCTACACCAATGACACAATAAATATATTATAAATATGCCATAACTGAGACAGACAACCTATAATCCAGGATTTAAATTACCCGAAATGTCGCAAACAGTACTCAAAAAGTAAAACCGTTGAAAATGCAAATTTACCAAGAGGGACTTCCCTGGTGGTCCAGTGGTTGAGACTCTGTGCTCCCAGTGCAGGGGGCCCAGGTTTGATCCCTGGTCAGAGAACTAGATCCCACATGCATGCTGCAACTAAGGAGCCTGCGTGCTACAACTAAGACCTGGAGCAGCCAAATAAATAAATAAATAAATATTTTTAAAAAATAAAAATCAATCAAGAGCATGTACGTACGAAGGTTACTGTCAACTGGCTTCTCATTAACGACCAGGTCACATGCAATTTCATTGACTCCATCGTGGGTGTGCTTTACCAAGAGAGAATAGTTTCCAAATTCCCCAAATTTGTATTCCAGCCTACAAAGATTACGGAAAATGAAGAAACATCATTAGGTTAGGAAATAAGCAGTTGGATGTTGGTAATGTCACCCAGGCAGAGTGACAGGCATTCCTGGGTGCAGATCAGGGAAGACACAGAAAGATACTTTGAGAGAAGAAGCTAAAAACCAAACAGGAAAAAAATAGTAGAGAGAAAGTACAGGTGTCAGTAGGTCACATCATAGCAGGTACGAACCTACAAACTTGCTTCTCCTCCGCAGTGTCATTAAGCTGCAGGATGGATCCATGCTGGGTGCTCACAGCCACAGCCTCAATGCTGGGCTCCCCGGGTTTCCTGCTCTGGGAGACGTCAACCAGGACCTGGAGCAGGCACTACACGATCCAAGCACAGGCCAGGTGTTAGGGGTTTGACAGTCTGTGGTTGCTGGGTATCCAACTGAAGACCTGAGATAACTTTTCCTTCATGCTTATAGAAAACTTTTACACTTCAATAATTTAGGTAAAATTTGCCTACATAACTAGGTGTTGCTATGGAACTACATAATCTTTGTTCATAGGTACATTCTTCACATAATTAACAAATACAGCATCCCTTTAATCTTGCATTCTATGGTTTTACTTAATATTATTTAACAAATAAACTTCCATGATTCTACCTAATTTGCATATTTATAATTTTTAATGGTTGCATTATATTCCATCAAATACTATCGCTATGAATACTTAGGGTGCTTTCAAAGCTCGTTTTATCTTTTTGTATATAACTTATATAAATTATATTGCTTTGGAAGATATATAATTTAATTATATGATATATAATAATATAAATCTACTTATATTTATAATTTATATAAATTATATTGTTTTAAAAGATCTACACATGATGTTCTTATTCCTTTAAACTCTTTCCCTAAGACAAATTTCCAAAACTGAGATTACTGGATTAAAAAAATAATCATTTTAATGGTTCTTGTTACACGTGGCCAAATAGCACTCACATAAGAAAAATTACAATAGATTTATTTCTCATCAGCCTTACCAGGACTTCATATCATTCTTCCTTTTGTTCAGGTACTAGGTGTTTATGATACCACAGCATTAAGATTACATTTTAAATTAGAAGTAGATTAAATAATTCAATTTTCTTTTGCTCTTTTATGTTCCTTATGGTGTGAACCACCTGGTAGACACTCAATTCCCTCAAACAGAATCTTAGAAATCTGTCCTCGTACACTGCAACATGAAACTTCTAACTCTCTCAAACGCTTCTCCACTCTAGTGCTTTCATCTTATTATGTTGTTGTTTTTAAAGTTTTACAGAGTCACACTACTCTGGTTTGTTATTTCTTCTATGGCTTCATGAGTTTAACAATGTATTCTGCATTTTTTAGTATTTGTTAAATTTGTGGGTTTTGTTTTTTTTTACTTGAATCCACTTGGGGTATTTGATAGATGGTATCCCATAATTCTAAATACCTTTCCCATGGTTTTAGCTGTTAAATTCTTACGTAAATTAGATTCTACTTCTTATACTTCGTTTGGCCCGTTGGTCTTCATTTATCTTTTTTGGCTACATTCACGACCGTGCTCTGCGATACTTCTTATCCGGTACAGCAAGTCTCCGTACCATCCGTTCTCCTTTTGGGCCATCCTCTGATTCTCTTGCACACTTACTTTTTCATAGACATTTTGGAATTATTTTTATGCAGCTTCTATAAAGTATCCACAAGCAATTGTGTTGAATGTATAAACTAATTTGGGAAGTATTGCCATTTTTCCTACGTTTAGGTGTCACATCAGCGTGCATTGGCTATTTCTCCATTTAGCCTATAATTTTCCCATTAAAATTTTATCATTGTCCATATATATGACCTCTTATAGATTCCTCAAGATGAAAATATAAGTCATCATAAATCTCTCAATATGCCAACTTATTCTACCTGATAATTTATTTAAGATTTTTACACCCACATTAATTAGAAAGATTGACCTGCATTTTCTGTCATGTCTTGGCTAGATTTTAAGATCAACACCCTGCAGAATGAATCAGATACCAAGATATCATTTTTTTTATTGTTGTTATATTTAGGGTCAGTTTATATAGATTAAGAATTATTTATTATTTGAAAATGCAGGAGAAAATGACCTATTTTTAGGTAGAGAAATTCATTACAACTCTCCAGATTCTTAATCAGTTGCTGATCTATTTATATCCTCAATTTCTTGAATCAATCTTCATATTATATTTTTTGAAGGAAATCAATCAATTTTTGTACTTTAAATTGATCAGTCTTAACTGTTCATTGGACCATAATTATTTCAATTTCTGTTGAAATATAATTGCTAATTTCCATTGTTCCCTTAAATGTATCAATAATTTATCAATTGTGTGACTTTTATTTATTTTTTAATTTTTCAAATTTTTATTGGAGTATTGTTGATTTACAATGCTGTGTTATAGTTTCAGGTGTACAGCAAAGTGAATCAGTTACATGTATACATATATCCACTCTTTTTCTTTGTTTAGGTTCTTTTCCCATATAGGCCATTACAGAGTATGTGTGACTTTTATTTTAGAAAACCATCTCTTGGCTCATTCTTATTCCCAGTTTTTTTCTCATTTTGCAGTTTCCATAGTTACTGTTTTTATTGCTTCCTTTTTTCTTGTTTGGATGATGACACTGCTTTCCAAGACCTTGAGATCCTTACTCAGTAGCTTTTCTTTTCCCCTTTTTTTCCTGATTAACATAAAGCAGGATCCAGAAAGGAAAGCGGACACACTCTGAAGCTAGACTGAGGGGTGAGGATCCCAGCGCTGCCACGTGACAGCGGGGGGACCTGGGATAAAGTCACTTTCCCGCTCTTAATCTCAGCATCACCATCTGCAGAATCCAGGTATTTCCTGGATTGCTGTGAGGATTAAATGAGATATAATGTATCTAAAACAGAGCAGGCCCTCAGTAAACAGCAGCGACAACTTGTATTAACATTATCTTTACTGTTAGAAACATTTAGACACAAATTTTCATAAGAATTGCTTTGGCCAGGTCAAAGATTTTTCTATGACATTTACGGCTGTATTCTCTCTCCTATTAGTATTTTTCTGTTATGCAGAGGTAGGAAATTGCAGAAAGTATAATCTCTGCCGTTTGTGTTTAGTCTCGTTTGACAACACATGATTGATGTTTTGTTAAATACATTACAGATATTTTTGAAGTTATTGATTTTTTTCTACTTAATTTAAGGTCCTTTTAGTCCCTCTTGTGATAAGCCTTTTCTTGGTCTTGACCTACCTTTTTAATATTACCAATGTTCTGTGTTTCACTTAACTTTACAGGAGGTGTCATGTACTGCTCCATCATCTTCTAGCTGATACCCACACTGGGGACTTTTAAAATTTGTTTTCTTTCTTAAAAAGCTATTTACACTAAATAGGTCACTATCCATTAAAATTCCTCCTCTGAAGGTGGTACATTGAAGCTCTCAATCTGGAAGTAAAGACTATTTCATTTTACATGGAAGAATAGCCCTGTCCTTAAAAAGCAACAAGGTCTAGCATAGGAGCAACACCTTCAGATAAAATCCTTTATCATCAGAAGGGCCTCAGCGTAAGCATCCAGTGGCCCTCACCGCCCCCCCCCCCCCCCCCCCCCCCCCCCACCCCCGCCGTGTCTCACTCCTTCCTTCTCTGGTCCAGCAGGAGGGTTATGCAGTGGGCAGAGGAGCCAAAACACGTCTATCACTTCAGGCTTCACAAGGGATCCAATTGAATGGACTCCAAAAGGGAGTGTGAATACCCTGCTGAGACCCCATCCTAGTGCATCACCCCTCTGCAACTTGAAACCAGTGGTGTGGCTGCCCTGTCACACTCTAGGCCCCTTGATTAATGGCTCTGAGGGTACAGGCTATAAGAGGTGGCAGAAATGAGCAAGTGGCCCGGATCTGGTTTATGCTCTTATTGTGGAATGAAAGAATGCTTGTCACATTAAAAAAAAAACGAAAAACAAAAAAACCATGTCTATCAATTTTGCTCATCACAGAAACTGGTTTGAAAAAGATGGGCAGGGAAACAATAAAAAAGGGATGCTGCCCATTGCTAGGCATCCTCCGTGATGGAATTTCTTCTGAGTCTTTGTCTAGCCTGTTTGTTTCCTCACCTGTAAAGCTGAGGCTAACATGTGAAGGGCTTCAGGTCTGACAGCACTGGGGCCATATCAAACCAGCCCCAAAGCAAACACAACTGTGAGCAAGCACGCAGCACCTACATGATAACAGCGATCGAAATTCCAGTAGATGGTCAGGTTTGTCCCAGGCAGTTCATTATGGATGAGCAGCAAAGCCTGGTCCATCTTCAGCTCCAAGTGCCTTTTTTTCCCTAAGTCTGGTAAGAATTAGAAAAAAAAAAAAAAAAAAAGAAAAAGAAAAACTAGGCACCTGAAAGATGTGTCAGACACAAAGTGCATCAGAGTGGAAAGTGGCTTCTCAGGAGCGCTTCTCAAACGCCTGGGGTCTCTCGTCCCTCATGCCGTGTCCACACGGATGTGCACGTGCACACACACATCCAGTTCCCTTCCACACACATGCCTCTACTACAAACAAGGATTCAATCAACACCAAGTTTAGTTGTTTCCGTGCAACTTCTATTTGATAATATAACAACCTCATGAGCTAGGTATTTTCTCCATCCTACGGATGAAGAAATTAAGGCCCACAAAAATTACATAACTGCCCATGGCCACAGAGGTTTTCAGTAAAATCACTGACATGAACCCAATCTGCGTGATTCCGAAGCTCCAACTTTCCTGGCCCACATCACTCAGCTCTGAGCTGGGATGGGCAGCTCTTAAGACCTGCAGGACCCCAGACTAGGGAGTCAGGACACGCAGAGCAGCAGTGTTCCTGGGGGATCTGCACGCCCTTTACAGTCCGAGAAGCTCTGCCTGATGTCACTTTTGTTTGGAGTTCTGCATCTCCTGGTTTCCATGGCAGACATGAGGCGGGGAAGGAGAGAGGGTAAGTCTGAAAGGCAGAAAGAGCCACTGCTCCATATTCCCTGGGCTTAGAGCTCATCACTTTACCAGATGCTCTCAGGGTACCATAAGGATGATGCATCTTCTACCTTTCAGTCTGCCAATTTGGTAGGAAAACAGTGAACTATTATTGGCTAAAGTTAAAGCAAAGTGTTTCATCCAGATCAACTAGGCCATTTATATCTGTTATATTATATGAAAGAGAAATCACCATCTAGCTTCTAGGCAAAAGAAAAAAAGGGAAACTTTCTTTAATTTTTAATTTTATACTGGAGTCTAGTTGATTTACAATGTCGTGTTAGTTTCAGATGTAGAGCAAAGCGATTCCATTATACATATACATATATCCAGTCTTTATTTTTTTAATTAATTTATTTATTTGGTTGCACCGGGTCTTAGTTGTGGCAGGCGGCCTCCTTAGTTGCAGCTCGCCAGCTCCTTAGTTGCAGCACGTGGGCTCCTCAGTTGCGGCAGGTGGGCTCCTTAGTTGTGGCATGTGAACTCTTACTTGCGGCATGCATGTGGGATCTAGTTCCCTGACCAGGGATCGAACCCAGGCCCCCTGCATTGGGAGCACAGAGTCTTATCCACTGCGCCACCAGGGAAGTCCCCATATATCCATTCTTTTCCAGATTCTTTTCCCATGTAGCCTATTACAGAATACTGAGTCCCCTGTGCTACACAGTAGGGCCTTGTTAATTATCTATTATATATACATATATATAGTAGTGCATATATGTTAATCCCAAACTCCTAATTTATTCCTCCCCACACACATTTCCCCTTTGGTAACCATAAGTTTGTTTTCAAAGTTTGTGAGTCTATTTCTGTTTTGTAAATAAGTTCATTTGTATCATTTATTTTTAGATTCCACATATAAGTGATATCATATGATATTTGTCTTTGTCTGACTTACTTCACTTAGTATGATAATCTCTAGCTGCATCCATGTTGATGCAAATGGCATTATTTCATTCTTTTTTATGGCTGAGTAATACTCCACTGTATATATGTACCACATCTTCTTTATCCATTCCTCTGTTGATGGACATTTAGGTTGCTTCCATGTCCTGGCTATTGTAAATAGTGCTGCAATGAACATTGGGGTGCATGTGTCTTTTCAAATTATGTTTTTTTCCAGATATATGCCCAGGAGTGGGATTGCTGGATCATATGGTAGCTCTATTTTTAGTTTTTTAAGGAACCTCCATACTGTTCTCCACAGTGGTTGTAACAATTTACATTCCCACCAACAGTGTAAGGGTTAAGGAAAACTATTTAATAACACAACCAGAAAGGTAATAATCTAGCCTCTTTTATTTTGTAATATGAAAGCTTAATTCAGGGCTCCCCAGTACCTCATCTGGTTAATTCAGAAAATTCTTCACTGCAGCCAGCCTAAATCCCTCATTTTTAGCGTTCATCCTAATTTACCCTTATTTAGCTCTCAGTGAAGACAAAACACAGAGTATATAACTTTTAATAATCTACTGAGGCTTTTTTTCCCTTCCAGGCTAAACAAAGCTTTATCAATCACTTTTTCTGTTGGTCGCCCTATGGCGAGCAGCCAGCAGAAGCAGCGTTTGAGACCAGGAGTATAACATGGTGGGTTAAGTGTGTGGACTCCATGTTGGGCCAACTTGAATCTGGACCCCACCCTGCCTCAGCATCCTCATCAATAAATTAGGGGTCATAACAGTGTGTGCTTCGGAGGATTGCTGGGGAGGCTAAAATTGATAACACTAGCAAAGTGCTTGACAGAGAACCTCAAACAAAGTAAGTGTTCAACAAATGATGATTATAATGACCTGGGCCACATCCAACCAATGCAGGGGACAAGAGGGGCTTCGTCAGAATCAGGAACATGTGGTTAAATATTTTGAAAAGTTGTTTCTTCTCTTTTCATTTAACCTTATTTCCAATTTTTCCCCATTCCCCTTTTTTCCAATTATAAGAAATGATGCTATATCCTATATAAAAATGGCGCTATAGACACCTGAAAATCAACATGCTCTTCTTTCAACATAGTTCCTTAAGAATGAACTTCCAGGAGTGAAATTTTCAATCAAAAATAGCTTTTTAAATAGTTTTTGATATGTTTAGCCAAATTCCTCTCCCAATTTAGCTGTGCCGGTTTATAAAGACAACTGTGGTGTTCATCGGCTCCCAGGTGACACCAAAAACGACACACTTACTGTGCTCCAGGTCCCAACAGCCTCGTGAAACAGCTGCTGGTGTCTCCAGCCTCCGGATGAGGTATGGAAGGCCTGGAGAGGTCACCCACCAGACTGACTCACCAGTCTGGCCAGCACCTAACCTCTATGCTCCCAGTCTCCTGAGACTAAGCAGATCTGTCCCCTAGCAGCTGGGCCAGTTTAATTTTTTCCCTTGCGTTTTAGCCCGAAGTATAGAAAATATAATTTCCTTATTATTTTAGTTCTGAACTGACAATTAGCAAGTTCGAACATGTTTTCCAAATGTTGACTATCAGTACTTTCCTTTCCTGTGAATTGTTGGAATGTTTATTTAACCACTTAGCCCCTGTGATATTAAATCCTTTGTCATACTTGTCATAATGTTTTCAAGTATTTCTCTTTTTCATTTCCCTTGTTCAGGTTTGAGAGCTTCCATTTGCAAATTTATAGTCACTAGCTGTTGACCTTTTCCTCCGTAATTGTTCTATACAGCATCATCCCTTCAGAGCTGTAGTAACTACTGTTTTTATTCATACTTCTATGAGTCTTCAGTGGTGGGTGGAATACGGTTCTTGTTTCATGCTTAATTTTTCCATGAGAATTTCAGACTTTGAAGGCTCTTAATTGTCATCAATATTATTTTATATAAGGTTGTATGAAGGGTTAATGCTAGCTGAACATCAGAATTACCTGGCAAGCTAAAAAAAACACAAAACCAGACTTCCCTGGTGGTGCAGTGGTTAAGAATCCGCCTGCCAATGCAGGGGACATGGGTTCGAGCCCTGGTCCAGGAAGATACCACATGCCACGGAGCAACTAAGTCCGTGTGCCACAACTGCTGAGTCTGCGCTCTAGAGCCCAGGAGCCACAACTACTGAGCCCACATGCCACAGCTACTGAAGCCCATGTGCCTAGAGCCCATGCTCCACAACAAGAGAAGCCACTGCAATGAGAAGCCCACACATTGCAATGAAGAGTAACCCCCGCTCGTTGCAACTAGAGAAAGCCCGCATGCAGCAACAAAGACCCAACGCGGCCAAAAATAAAATATAAATAAATAAATAAAATAATAACATAAATAAATTAATTAATACATAATTTAAAAACAAAACAAAACAAAAAAATACCAATGCCCTGGCTCCACCCCAGACCTATTAAATCAGAATCTCTGCCCAACCAGTATGATTTATTTTTTGTATTTTTTAAATTGAGGTATAGCTGATTTACAATATATTAGTTTCAGGTGTACTACATAGTGATTCAAAATTTTTATAGATTATACTCCATTTAAAGTTACTATAAAATATTGGCCATATCCCTCATGCTATACAATATATCCTTGTAGTTTACTTTATACATGGCAGTTTGTAGCTCTTAATCCTCTACCCTCGTTCTTGCTCCTCTCCCTTTCCTTTCCCCACTGGTAACCACTAGTTTGTTCTCTATATCTGTGAGTCTATTTCTGTTTTGTTATATTCATTCATTTTATTTTTAGATTCCACATATAAATTACAACATACAGTATTTGCCCTTCTCTGACTTATTTCACTTAGTATAATACCCTCATATCCATGTTGCTGCAACTGGCATTATTTCATTCATTCTTTTTTATGGCTGAGTAATATTCCATTGTATATATGTACCACATCTTTATCCATTCATCTGTTGATGGACACTTAGGTTGCTTCCATATCTTGGCTATTGTAAACAATGCTGCTATGAACACTGGGTGCACGTATCTTTTTGAATTAATGTGTTCATTTTCTTCAGTTACATACCCAGGAGTGGAATTGCTGGATCATATGGCACTTCTATTTTTAGTTTTTTGAGGAACCTCCAAACTGTGCTCCATAGTGGCTGCACCAATTTACATTCCCACCAACAGTGTAGGAGGGTTCCCTTTTCTCCACACCCTCATCAACACTTATCCTCCTCAAAACAGCAGCAACAGACTGTGAGTGTAAGGCCAGGGGATTCTGACATCTTTGTACCTTTTTGCATTATTTGAGCATTTTTTAAAAAAACCAATGAGTCTGTGGGATTAGCAGATGCAAACTATTATATATAGAATGGATAAGCAACAAGGTCCTACTATAGAGCTATATTCAGTATCCTGTGATAAACCACAATGGAAAAGAATATGAAAAAGAATGTATATATATGTATAACTGAAGCATTTGGCCATACAGCAGAAATTAACACATTATAAATCAGCTATAGTTCAATACAATAAATTTTTTAAAAACCCAATGAGTGTGTAGTCTGTATCACTCACACACTCACACACACACACACAAACACAAAGGACGAAATTCCTAAGCCATCCAATATGACACCGAAATTGAAACTGATGCTCAGTTTCTAGAAAAAGCTGCCAACAGCTGAACTTACAAATACCAGGGCAGGGACTTCCCTCGTGGTGCAGTGGTTAAGACTCTGCGCTCCCAATGCAGGGGGCCCAGGGTTCGATCCCTGGTCAGGGAACTAGATCCCACATGCATGCTGCAACTAAGAGTTTGCATGCCACAACTAAGGAGCCCGCCTGCCGCAACTCGCCCTGCGCAACCAAATAAGCAAATAAATATTTTTTAAAAAAAGAAATACCAGGGCAGCCTCAAGGAGCATTACATACAACAGACAATTCCCTCTTCCTGTCTACAATGTCTTGGTGAGGAAATAAACCAAACAAAGTCACGTTTCAATAGTGCCCAAGTAACTGTACTGCTCGCATATTAGGCTTTTACTTCATTTCCAAATACTTAATTTCTGGTTCTAGCTCCCTGCTCGTAAGTGTCTTTGCTGAGCATATCTGAAAAGACATAGTCTACTTAATTTTTTTCTTTTCTTTTCAAGTAAACTTGAGTCCACAAATCATATAAAGGTGGAGTTCTTAGTAGGAATCTGTCCCGCCCAAAGTTGGCCTCCAGGTGGCACTAAAAGCCTGGCTGACCTGGCAACACTGCTCTGTGAAGGTTCGGGAGTGGATGGCTTCAGAACGCTACTAGTACGCTCTCCCTCACTACACAGAATCACTGCTTAGAAACTTACCTTTTTCCTACAATAATTATCGGTATTAACTGATGCTAAAGCACAAAAATAGAGCGTTGTACGGGTTCAGTCTCTGACAAGTTGTGACAGGGCAGATTATGTAACCCCTTGAGGTCCGTTGCTCGATTATAAAAGGGAGGGAGTGACGAGACTGAGCTCGGGGGCGGGGGAGACACTGTATTAAACGTAATCAGCTAAGATGCTTTTTCAAAATTGATTTTGTCTTCTCCCTACAACATTTTGATTGAGGAGGAGCGGCAGTTTGAACCACACACGCTGACACCAAAACCCCCGCGTTCTGATACAAAGATGATGGGATGAAGGGAGCAGAGGCAAGTGGTCCCCAGCTACCCAGGTGGTAAGGAGACCTTCCCCAACACTGACCGAACCGGGTTTGCTGCCCTTGGCTGATCCCAAGGGCTGACCTTCGACCACAGCATCCCCTGGGGAGGGGCATGGGACTGAGATCTTCTAGGGCCCTGGGTCCTCGTCCAAGGGGTCTAGCGAGAGGCCCAGGAATTTGCCTCTTTTTTTCCACTTCCCTGGCGAGCTCGGAGACCAGGCAAGCTGGGGAAACGCTCGCTGAGCCGAGGTTCACCTCTCCTCTCCTCCCTGCCGGACATGAGCACCGATCCCCCCGAGCCCTCCCAGGCCGCCGACCTCGCCCGGGGCGCCCCTGCAGACCGCAGCCCCGGCGCTCCGCCCGTCATCATAGAAGCGGAACCGCCCAGCGGGCCGGGGAGGCTCGCTCGAGATCCGACCCCGCGCCTCGGCCGCCAGCTCCCGCGCCCGCCGCCTCCCGCGCGCTCCCGCTGCGCCCCCGGCCCGGGCCGCGGTGGCCCCGGAGCCCAGCACAGCCGAGCCGGCCTCTCCGTCCCGCCGCGCACGGAGCTGCGCGCTCGGGCCGCGGCTCCGGCGGGTCCCCCGCAACCCCTCCGTGCGGCGGACGGAGCGGGGCGCCGGCCCGGCTCCGATCAGCTTTGCATTAGGGGGCGACAGGTCTCCGGGTCAAAGGCACTCCATAAGCCCGAGGAGCGCCACTCCCGCCCTCCTGCGTCCTCCCGCGGGTCGGCCTCCGTGCACGAGCCCCGGCCCCGCCACGACAGCGCGGCGGAAACGACACGCGAGTTCCGGGCGCTGCTCCTCCCGAGCTGTCCCGCGCGCCGCCCCGGGGAGGGGACAGTCACCGCCCCGCGGGCCCGGCCGGAGCGCGCACTCACCTGGCGTCGGGGAGCTGCCGGGGGCCAGCAGCGCGGCGCTCAGCACGGACGCGGCCAGCAGCAGCGCGGCCAGCGCCCGACCCGCGGCCCCCGTCCCGCTCATGCCGCCCACCGCCCCCGCGCCGCCGCCGCCGCCGCCGCCGCCGCCGCCGCCGCGCTCCCGGGACCCGCGCTGCTCGGCCGCACACGGCCGCGAGCCCGTCATCGCCCGGCGCTCGGCCCCGGGGGCGGGGCGCGAGCCACCGCGGGGGCGGGGCGGGGGCGGATCTTCCGGGGGAGGGGAGCTCACCGCGCCAGGAGCCGCTGCGCAGGGTTTTGCTTTTTTTGGTTTTTTTTTTTTTTTTTTTTTTTTCCTGAGGAGAGACGCGTCGCGTCGGGAAGAGAGGGCCCCGCAGGCCCCGAGCCGCCGCTCCGCGGTCCCTCACCACCCGCTGAGCGACATTACGCTGAATCCCTGCGTCCAGCCATTCGCCATACAAACGGGTGTTAGTGTCCTCTGTCCACTGTTCTGAGTCCCAGCCCCCAAGGCGTTTGCTATCCAGAGGGAGAGTTGCGACATAAAAGCCATAAAAGCCACCGTGTGTTACTACCACTTGGAAGAGCTGGTTGCCAGTCCCGGATGAAGTTAAAGGCTCGCAGGCACGATGACCCCGCGGTTACACTCCTAGCTTTGCGCCCGGGAAAACTAACATACGCATGAAGGGCAGATCCAGTCATGCTTGAGGCAGAGTGGTTTGAAACTGCAAGAACCTGTAAATGATCTAAATGTCCATCAGTGGAGAAAATGGATGAATTGTGGTGTAATGCATACAGCAGTAGAAATGATCTAGACTTACCTGTGTCCACACGGATGAATCTCAAAAATAAGGCTGAGAGGGAAATGCAAGTTGCAGAAATATCTTTGTAATATCATACATAAAGTGTAAAGCCAAGCAAAATAGGTATGTTGTTTAGGCTTACATGCATGTGTAATAAAAGTATAAAGATACATATGGAAAGTTAAACACTGAATTTAAGCCGTGGCTGGGAATAGGGAGGAGGCACAATGTTGAGGTCCAGCTTCACGGTGGGCTTCAGCCAAAGTTATTGCTTAGGTAGGGTGATAGATTTATGCGTGCTCTCTATATTATTTTTTATACTTCTCTGTATATTGAATGACTTTGTAAAGCTACAATACAGTGTGATGAGTGCTATGTTCATAGAAGGACAAGACGCTAAGATAGCATTTGATGGAAGCACCTAAGGTAGTCTGGGAAGCCTCCCAGGAGGATTGACATTTAAACTGAGTCCTGAGGGATGTGAGCCAGGAGAAGGGAGGAAGAGCGTTCCTAACAGAAGGAACAGCCTTTGCGAAGGCTCAGAGAAAGCACGTCTCAGTGCAGGAACTGAAAGAGACCCAGTGTGACGGAAGCAGAATTCTGTGAGGGGAAGGAGGAGACAGGAGGTGAGCTCGACAATAGAGTTGAGTTTAGGCTTCTTCTTAAGGACAGTAGCAAGCTGTTGAGTTTTACGGTGGAGATAACTTTCAGGAAAGTCATGGTCATGAACTATCTAATAAAGGTCAGTCACATGGGTTTTCTCAGAGAAAACAAACCTCTGTGCCTGAAGGTCAGGAAGAAGTTCAGTGACTCCTTTTTTCCTCCTTGCCCGGCCCCACTGTTCAAAATCCCAGGAGTTGAGGGACACTGGTGTATAAGGAGTATGACAAGACCATCGCCAAGTAGACATCTGCTGTCCAACAGCTTCTCTGGTCCCCACAAAACCAGAATGGGCCACAGGGCCCCTTGGGTGGATGTGCCCTTCTCTGCTTCCTCTTCGAGGATGGCTCTTTCAGCTCTGTCACAAACCTCCGTGCCCAGAAGAATCTGGAATTCCTGTCTTAGGGCTGAGCATGGCTGGTCCCTCTACCTAGAACACTCTTCCCCTGACACCTCACAGACCCTCCCTCACTTCATTCAGGTCTCAGCTCACCTGTTACCTTCTTCCCCAATACCCCTATTTAAAACTAAAACATTCTCTATCCCTGTGTCCTGCTATATCTGCTTTGGTTTTCATTCTACTCATATCTACCTGACATTATAATGTGTGTTTGTTTTTCTGCTTCCCTTGCACTAGAATGTAAGATCCATGAAGGCAAAGAGTTTGTCCTGAGGGCAAGAACCTTCTCTGTTAAGCTATAATGCACAATAAACAGACACCCAGTCCTGTGGCTTATTTCAGCAAAAGCTCATGTCTTGCTCACATTCATGTCCAGTGCTTCATTCTACCATGACTGCAGCTGTGGAGAAATGATGTAGCAAATCCTACACTGGCTCCTGCCCAGCAGAGAGATGCCTGTGACTGGCATTCACTGGCCAAAGCAGGTCATATGATTCCAATGTGACAAACACATGCAGAAATAAAATTGGACAAAATTCAACATCTATTCAACTCTCAACAAAATAGGAATAGAAGGCAACTTCCTCAATCTGATAAATGGCATCTATGAAAAACTTACAGCTAATATGACACTTGAAAGACAATATTTTTTGCCTAGAATCAAGAACAAGGCAAATATATCTGCCCTTACCACTTCTACTCAACACTGTCCTGGAGGTCCCAGTCAGTGCAATAAGGCAAGAAAAAGAAATTAAAAGCACATAAATTGGCTTTGTTCAAACATGACATGATTATATATGTGTAAAATCCTAAGGAATCTACAAAATAAAAGCTGCTAGAACTTAAAGTGAATTTAGCAAGGTCACGAAATTCAAAGTCAATATACAAAAATAGATTGTATTTTTATAACCTAGATATAAACAAAATTGAACATTGAAATTTTTAAAATAGCATTTACAGTAAGTTTTTTAAATGAATACGTAAGTAAATTTAACAAAATATATATAAGCAACAAACATGGATGGATCTCATAAACATTACACTGAATGAAAGAAGACAGACTCAAAAAGGTATATACCATACTGCATGATTCCAACTACATGAAACTCTGGAAAAGAAATTCTAATCTTTCTAAGAATAAAGCAGAGAGTCATTGCCTGGGGCCAGCAGTGGAGAAAGGATTGAATGGGATGGGGCACATAGGAAATTCCAGAAGAGATAGAAATGCATTGTTTTATCTGTAGGGGTGGTGACACAAGTATATAAATGTATCAAAACTCATTGAAATGAATACTTTAAATGGTTGCATTTTATTATATATAAATTGAGCTTCTCCCTTGGGAAATCACCATGGATGGGATGCCATGTACAGATGTAGCACACACAAAGCAGCAAATTTGAAGCAGAGAAGAGTTATTTTGGAAATGTTGAATTTGAGATGTTCTTTGGAGAAATGTCTATTCATTTCACTGGATGGTTTGTGGGTCTTTTGCTGAGTTGTAGAAGTTCTGTATATATACTGGATATCGATCACACATAAGATATATGATTTGCAAATAACATTGATATAAAAGGAGAGTTAAGTATTTGGGGAAAATCAGTACTTATATGGCAAGTGAAATTGTGAAAGAGGATGAGATTACCCAGGTAGTGTGTGTAGGGCTGAAAACAGAAACCGGGAGCTGTGGGGTGGGCAGAGACTGAGCGGAAGAAGCCAGAGGGGTGGGAGAAAGCTTGGGGGTGGGAAGCCACAGCAGTCAAGGGGGATTTCAAAAAGGAAAGGACTGAAAAGTGCACATTAAATTTAGCCATTAGTGACCTGGTGACAGCAGTTTCAGGGCAGTAGTAGTAGCAAAGTTCAGACTGCAGTGGGTGGAGGGGTCAAAGGAATACAAAGAATCGTAGACATTTAAACAAGTTGTTCTCAGACAACTGGATAGGCATATAGCATATATAGCATATAGCAAAAGAGTGAAGCTGGACACTTACTTTACACCATATGCAAAAATTAACTCAGTACTTTAATGTAAGAGTCAAAACTAAAAAACTATTAGAAGAAAACATAGGGGTTCATCTTCATGACCTTGGATTTGGCCTTGGATTCTTTGTTACTCAAAAGCATGACTAACAAAAGAAAAATATAGTCAAGTTGGACTTCATCAAAATTTTAAAAAATTTTTTAAAAGACACTGTCAATAAAGTAAAAAGACAACTCAGAGAATATGAGAAGATATTTGCAAATCATACATCTGATAAGGAACTCGTATACAGAATATATGAAGAACTCCTACTCAACAGCAACAAAAACCAAACAACTTGATTCAACAATGGGCAAAAGAGGGGGCGGAGTCAAGATGGCGGACTAGGAGGACGTCAAATTTGTGTCTCCTCACAACTAGGGCACCTACCAGGCACTGGAGGGGGACAACGGACACCTAAGGGGATGGGAGGGACCCCAACTGGGTAGGATGTGGGGCTTGGGGGAAGTGAAGAGAGAGGAAAGGTGGAGGCAGGATGGGACTGGCCCACCTGAGGGGTGGCTGGGGGAGGGGAAGGGATCCCATGCCTGAAGGGGGAAATGGGGGGACCATTGGGAGGGCAGAGGATCAAAAGGGAGCATGGACAGGTTTCCCCTGCCCACCTGGGCCCCCAGGAACCTGCTGAGATCCCCGGCCTGATCCTCTGCTCACCGAGGCCCCCTCCAGCTGCATGGGTCCTGAGGGAGTGGGAGGGACGAAAGGGGAAGCAAAAGTAAAGGCCGGACCTACAGGACGGGCACCCCTGAGGGGCAGCTAGGGGAGGGGAGGAGTTCCTACACCCAGCGGGACCCACCCACAGTTAGGGGTCCAGCATCGATGGGGGAGGCCCTGGGAGAGGGGCATGGAGGAACGGAAGGGAACGGGGCCAGCGCTTTCCCTGTCCTCTTAGGCACTGGGGAACCTGTAGGGCTCCCGGGCCTAATCCTCTGCCCTCGGAGCCTCCCTCCTGCGGGGCAGAGCCCAAGCCCCACCCCTACGCCCCCACCCGGGGCCCCACGTCTACACTCGGAGACCCCCTCTGAGACCCCCTCCAACACACTGGGCCTAAACCCCACCCACACACCCTCACTCAGGTGGCTACCTCCAAACTCAGGAACCCCATACAACAGAGGCCCTCCTTTCCACGTGCTGCTGCTCCCCTTCTGCGCAGGTCGTAAGCAGAGGCCCTGCCCACACTTGAACATTTCACCGCCTAGGCCCCGGCCCATGCTCTAATGTCACCCCCAACCCACCTAGGTCCCGCCCCACCCAAAACCCTGCCCCTGCCGAAGTTCCAGCCCCCGC